GGATTTAGACGTCTGTTTATGTTCTTCTCCTTTAGACTTTGGATCTTGTCGGAACATGTACGAGGTGTGTCAGAAAAGTTTCAGGACCTGGTGTCACAGAAGATCTATTTCAAACCCAAACTACAAACTAGTTTTCCCCTTCGAAGTAATCTCCCTGGAGTCTAACGCACCGATTCTTCTGCAGCTCCGTCGTCACAGCCATCTTCATGTCGTCCATGTCTTCTAAATGGGTTCCCTTGATGACCCCTTGGGGAAAAGGAAGAAATCCCACTGAGCCAGGTGGGGTGAATAGGGAGGTTGCTCCAGCACGGAGATGTTCAGCCAGAAACTGTGGGATGCTCAGAGCATCGTGAGCAGGCGTGTTGTCATGGTGAAGCAGCCACAACTCTCACCTCTTCTGAACAAAGCAAACGCCTCAGACGTGCTGGTTGATCGTCTGAAGGGGAAAACTCGTAATTTGTAGTTTGGGTTTGAAATACATCTTTAATGACACCAGTCCTGGAACTTTTCTGACACACCTCGTACGGCTGAATCGCTCAGATATCACAACTCGTCGTGATGATTAGAGCACTTTTAAAGGAGTTTGAGCAGAGTTGTAGGTGAGCTGGTGCGCTGAAGCAAGTCAAGCGGCGTGGCTGGATAGAGCCATGGATTCCACAGATCTGCACATTCTTGAGGCAGCAACAGCGTAGCGTTACATATAAACCATTTTAAGGCAGGAAGGAATTGTTTTGAAGGAAAATGAACGTCTCAATGTTAAACTCTGATGCATGGAGATGAGTTTTTAGGGGTTAATCAATGACGAGAGATGAAAAATAAAAGCTGAACTGCAGGTGATGGAGGTCCATCTTGCTGCTGCCTCCATTTTTTTGTAGTTTTTTGATTTAGCAAAAGAACCTGCTGTATGGTTGGTTATAACAGGCTTGTCATGGATATGAAAACAAACCATATTTAGCAGATATTGCAGTCTGAGCTGCATTTTTAGTGGGAATTTTGTCACTTTTTCCCACTAAAAACAAGCATGTTTCCTTCCATCAAGAGAAGACGTTCTTAGACCGAGGCCTCTCTGTAACACAATGCTTTATTTAAAATGTGACGTGGTTTACATGATCTATCAAGAAAAAATTGCAGCGTCTGCGGTTTTGGCCACATTGCAATTTCTATACTATGTTGATGAATGGTTGGGCTCCACTGGAGAGCCTGCAGGTGCGGAGCTCTTTACCGATGGCTTCACTCTAGCAGCGGCTAATGGAAGATGCACTTTAAGGTGTGAATGGAGGTTTGACGTGTTACCCTGTTCAGTCACCGCTTCCTCGAGGCAACACGCCGGTGATGCACGGATCGACCCGCGGGTTGGGCCGGTTCCATCCAGTTCTGTATCCGCTTTATCTTGTGGAGGATTGCGAGGTTAAGAGTGACTTAAGGCGATTCGGGTTATAAAACTCCCAGTTATGAATGTGCAGTGAAACAATACTGAGGAGGATTGGCCTTAAACAGGTGTGCCACATCAGAAAATACCAAGAAACCAACTCTTTTGGCATTTACTGTAAGAGGACTTCACGGGTGATTTAATTTTCATTAGCATAGTCGGTGAATAATCTCCCAGCCCTTCACCAGGCACTTGAATAAATTTGCTCACTTTTAAAATTTAGTTTTTTTTCCTGCCTTTATTAGAGATAAACAGGAAAGGCTGAAAGGAAAGGAGGAGATTTCTAGTGTAAATGGTAGTACTTACTTTTCATCCTTTTCTGCGTGTTGCTGCCTCACCGAGGGTTACGCCACAAAGCTCTCCTTGTGCGAGCGCGTGCAAACTTAGCTCAATGCCTTTTCTGCATAATCAAATGGATTGATTTTGTCTCTCTCCGGTTTGCGCCCGTGTGCCGAGAGGTTTACAGGAAGACAAAACGGCGCTCTTGTGTTTTTTTCAGTAAATCACCGTCTAGACTGGAGAGCGACCGCGGCGGCACAATTCCACGTATCCACTCCACATCTGAAAAGGATTGATAAAAATAAATTGTACAGAATTGTGAAAGCAAATGCACTCTGCCCCAAGTCCGACTTTTTGTGGAGATAATGTCCCATTTCTTTTTTTTTCTACCCCCTTCCCCCCGCTGCTGTTCTTATTCAGAGGAATTTTTCCAACTGCCCTCTTATTTCTCAGCTGAGGTGTGGAGCTCGGGAGATAAGAGAATATTACCTGGCTCTAACTCGGCCATTGTTCCACTGGCCTAGCACCTTGTTACTCTCTCTGTACATATTTTTAGAGATAATGCAAGCCTATTCATTGGAAAATTTGAGGTTATTAAAAGGGGTTACTATGGAGAAGCAGAAAGGTTATTGGAGAGGGAGAGAGCGAGCGAGGAAGGGAGCGTGAGAGAGAGTCGTCCCACAGCTTTTAGTTGGCTCTGTCGCCACGGATCAGCTTGCTATGTTTGCACAGAGCAGCCCCCTTTTGCGTGAGGGGAGAAATGAGTGAATAAGAATTCGAGATGAAAAAGAATGTAAGAGAGCAGCAGCAAAAGAGAAAGGAGGAGAGCGAGTGAGTGCGTTAGCGGGTAAATAAATGGATGCTCACAGCGGTTAAAGTTACAGTAGGGCCAGCGCTCCCACCACAGGCTGCACGGAGCATCGCCTCCATCAAAGCTTTGTAAAGAACCTTTCATTCCCGGCCGCCTCATATACTACTGTGGAGTGTTTAACATGCGTGCTCTCATTACATCCTGCCAAAACATACACAGCCATTCAGCAGCAGCATATACTGCTTTTGTGCGCTCGCACACACACAGAGGCGCGCACAAAGAAGCTGGCATTTCAAGGCGTTCCCTCCTCTGTGAGGCAAAGAAGCAGCGTGACAGACCTCAGCGTGCAGAATAAAGACTTATCATCCGCTGTCATTCTCTCCTTACAGACCAGGGGATTTTGCATGGGGCTTGCTGAACCTGGTTTGAGGTTTGTTATTTATTTATTTCATCTGTTATCAAGGGCTCGGGAAGCATAACGCGCCTTTGGTGAGCAGAAGTACAATGCACTACAAACCCCTCAGTGATGGATTTCACTGCTCAGATCCTGTACCACTTTGATTTATGATATAATATAAGAGTGATACGCTGCTCATACAGGCACAATAGCGCCATGCTCCCATTCTGATGTAATTCCAGCTCACTGTCGCCTCTTAGCCTATCACAGCCTGCTGTGCTTGAAAAGGGGAGAACCCTCAAATGCACTTCAAGGGCAATCTGATTGAATTAACCAGCCATTAGATGTATGAGATGAGCTGTAATTGCGGGGGTATTTATCTATTCAGATGAATGAGTTTTGACCGCAAGGTCATGTTTCTGCTGCGCTGGCCTCAGGACAACTTGACTGAGTGTGTACCTGTTTGCGTGCGGCTCAGCCGTATTGTTTTAACCTGTCATCGCTGAGCCGAGATGCTTCACGAAACAAATATTGCTCCTTATGGCGTTTGGCACTGATGGCGTTTTTTATAGACCTGCTCAGCGGCGCTCATTTCTCTCCCTCTTGTCGCAGCCCTCGTTAATGACTGGGAGAATAGGAATTAGAGGCAACAAATGAGCCGCAGTGTGTTCATGTCAGTCAGGTGCAGTGGGAGCAGATGCTGTGAGCATTTACACCTTCATGTCAACATGTTCTCCCCTTAATTTACTCCCAGTCTCACTCTTTATATGTCACCTGGCCTTTTTCTGTATTAAAAAACATGCTTTTGTGTCTCTTGCTTCAGCTACCATTTTAATGCTTGTGATGGTAATGATAATAGGTTCATCAATTAATGGCCGTTAATCATTTTACCAATTATCCATGTTGGAAAATGAGTTGTCGATCAGCTGTAGGATCTGACTGCACCACCGGGTGGAGCTTCTTTCTTTTTGATGAGATTTGTTTGCGTTTAATACTTAAGCAACCGGAGGAGGTATTTTTGCTGCATCTTAACGGCACTTCTTTGTTGGCAAGCAGAGAGCATTGTGGGGTTTTTGCCAGCAGTGGGCACCATGACAAAGTTGTTTGTTTCCGTTAATGACTTCTGCACGGAGTTCCCATTTTCAAGATGAGCTGTAGTGTATTACTCATCCCAAGTGGCTGATTTAAAGATGCTGCAAAAATCACATGACCTCGGTTGAGCTTAGCAGCGTATGACCACTCTGTCCAGGTTTGTGTCTTGTGATGGACGAGACACCATCAGTTTCAGCGTTAGGTTTTGTTTTCTCTTGTTGTTTTCTTTAGGGTTTCACTTGCTTTCTGGTTAGGTTTAGGAAACTATCAGGCTTTATTAGACACTTTTATATGTTAGAAGCTTGATTAAGTTTATGCACCAAAATGACTTGGGTTAGCTTAGGTAAGTGTCATGGTTCGGGTTGAAATACCACCTTTTCTTTAATTTTGAGGAGGTTTATTGAGCAATGGACCGCCATGACAAAGATTTTTGTTGTGGTCAATGACGTCTGGGTGTAGCTGAGTAAATATTTTGTTTTAAAATTATATTTCTGTGAACTATCTCAAAACTTACTGTTATATTCTCTGTACAAAAAAAAAAGGCTATTACTGTGTACTCCTAATGTATTGATGACAGGTTTGTGAATGGTTCCACATAACCTGTTGTAGCAAGGGGGGCATTAATTAACGAGACACATGCACGAGGAAGCTGTGCATTCCCGGCAAAAGGTGGACGGCTTCTGTATTGGGAAGAGACCGCGCTGTGTCCTCTCTTGAGGTCATATTTAGGCAGAATTCTTTTTTCCCAAGCGACTGATGTGACCGTGCAAGTTTTGCAGTGAAATCACACGACTGTGGTCAAAGCAAACAGCAGATGTTTGCCTGTTAACTGACACTTGATTGATACGCTGCCGACCACCAGTAAAAACAATTAGTTCAAATTTGCATCCCTATTTCACGCACTTAAAAAAATGAATTTGATCCTGACCTTTACCCTTTTTTTTTTCTTGCAGGCCTGCCCCCGTTGTTCCCTCTGAGACGAAGAGGAAGCGATGTCGCGCCACCACCACCGCTTCGAGCGGGACTACCGGGGACCCTGGGAGCGGAGAGACATCCGTCCTTCTGGCCTCCACAATGGAGGAGCCAATCATAGCTGTGCCTCTGCCGTTGTCAATGGCAACAACCGTCCGGGGCTCCTTCCCCTCCCAGTCATCCCCTCCCTCCTCCCCACCCCAGTTACAGTTGCCGTGACAACGTCGAGCGGCGACATAGCGGTCAAGCGAGGCATCACGGCAGCAGGATCGGTGGCTCCGGCGTCGGCCAAGGTAGGAGGCTCATCCAAACTGTCGCCGGGACACCTGCTACCCTCGGTTCCATCTTCCAAACTGTCTCTCCTCCCGCTATGTCCATTCTCTCTTCTGGGCCTTTTTCTCCCGCTGTGGCAACTTTTTTAATCTCTGATGACTCCCCAACTGGACGTAACATCCAACTTTTTCCAATGCTTTTGACGCTTTCCAGCTTTCTTCTCTCTGTCTGTGTCTTCCAGTTCACCCCCTCCTACTTTCTCCAAACATTTCAGCGCTGGCATGCCTGTCTTCATGGTTCAACTGCCTCAGCTCTTCAAGCCCTTCCGCTCCCTCTCCCTCCACCTTTATCCTTCACTTCAGTTTTCGCTGCTCTCTCTGCACTTTCTCTGTCCAGTGCCCGGTGCTTGTTGCCAAACCATTTTCCTTCCATCTTCATTTTCTCCGTCTGCCAAATGGCAGGCTTGTCCTGCCTTTGCCTCCTTGGTAATTTTCTACTTTCATTATGTAAATGACCTCTAACAGTGGCTCAGATGGGTGCTGCTGTCAGAAGTGATGGTTAGAAGTAGTGCTTTTATGAGCAAGTAAACAAACTAAAGGGATCGTATCATTATATAAGTTGATGTCATAGATTAAGAAATGTCCTGTAGTCGCACTGTTAGCGGCCATTTAGTCCAAGATTTGTTTTTCGGTTAATCTAATGAGGCCTCCAGTGCATTTGGTGCATACATTACTCACTGGGTTATATATTGTGCTTGTGTTTAGACTAAAAAAAAAGCTGCCGTTTGGAAGAGTCTGAGCGGTGTACTGAAGAGCCGTACAGTTTGTGCTCTCCACCCCCTCGTCCTGGGATTTGCCGGCGAGCTGGCTGTCAGCGGCGTGTGAAGAGAGGGGCCTTTACCAAAAAAGAACTTAGACATTTCAGCCTCCCCCCACCACCACCACCGCCACCACTGCTCCCCCTTGCCTCCGCTTCCATGGATACCATTCATCTTCTTTAAACAGTCCTCCTCACTATCAGATCATTTGCTTTAATTTGAACCTCAGCAAATCCTCTCGGTCTCCTTGCTCTCGGTGGGGTCTTGGCACTGTAAGAGCAGAGGTAAACAATGCTCTGGTAATTTAGCCCAGTAAGTGCACATCATTAGATTCCCCTGCCGACTGCACTGACCACAGACACAGTAAATCTGCTCTGGCACCGCGGCGGCCCCTCCCCGTTGGTGTGCGGCTGAATAATTACATACATTCAGACAAAGTCTCGCCAACTCCCACCGTGGCTGTTGTCATCGCACAATGGCTGCCCGGGCAATTAGGCGCATTGCTTTTGCACGTGAGTGTGTTTAAGGTGACAGTATAATGTACGTGGGAGTGTGTATGTATGTATTTATGTACGTGCAGCAGGATATATGGAGATTGTTCCCAAGATGCCACGCTGTTATCTTTATTCATGGACTTCCTGTGCATTGTAATGTAAGCAACGGAGGCCAGCGCTGTTTAGAAAGAAGAAATCCATAGCCGGGGTTCTGCTTTAATTATGGACTAGAAAAGACACAAAGGATTGGAGTACCGGCCAGCGCCATAGGAGCCCTGCCTCTCCATCTTCTTCCTGGCTGTGTGCTGTCCTCCCTGCACTCTCTGTCATATTCGATCAAAGCCGTTGGTGGTCACAAAGAGTCTGATGGACGGATGCAGCCCTCTCTCCATGGTCCCCGTGTCTCTGCTCCGTCCACGGCTACACTAAAAAGCTGACAGACTGTATTGATTTCCACTGTTTGGAGACTCTCTCTTCATAAACACAGCAGCCCAAGTGGAGACAAGAGTTCGTCTAGCGAGCCGCGCACAGAAGCGAAAGTGATACTCCTGCGCTCTGTGTTCTTATAGACCTTAAAGGGGAGTGATCATCAGAGGCAGCGCAGGTATTGTTTTAGTGTTCCTTTGCTAAAAAATAAAAAAAATCCTCGGTTTGGTGCACGTGTGTGTAGGTGTGCATACTGTAAGTGTGGGTGTGTAGGACAAATGCTGAGAGCTGAAAAGTACCATCTGGCTGCGTCATCCATCGTGATGTGAAGGTATCCACACGGAACAATGAACTATAGTTACATCGGTGCTGCATTTACTTATACCCTGCAACACCATTAATTAATAAAATGTACATTTTAATGTATTTGTCATAGGTATAGGGACACTGCAAACGCTAAACCCAGGTTATTAGTAGCTGTTTTCTTTCTCCCGCTGATGGACAGGACTGTAAATGTCACAGGAAAGTCTGGTTTTATTCTGTATGCAGGCGCTTCCTCCAGGTGATGTACTGCGATCCATCGTGCCATTTTCTCAGAATGTAAATGAAACTCGGTTTACTAGGTGAGCGATTTTATTATTCCAGTGAGCACAGTGGCGGCTGTTGTTAGGTTAACAAGTGGAGCTGCTGTGATATATGACTTCTGGTCAACGATGAAATAATCACTATTTTGATCATCAATTAATCGGTTTGAGTGATTCTTTTTAAAAACAAGAAATAAGCCGAAATTTAAGCTTCTTAAATTTGAATATTTTCCCGTTTCTTTCATCCTCTGTGACAGTTAACTGAGTATTCGTGGGTTGTGGATGTCAATTTGGGCTTTTTGAAACAATGATCGACACTTTTTTGTTATTTTTCAAATGACAAATCAATTAAAAAATAAAATAAAATCTAAATAATAGCGTATAAACCAACATTTCACAGCGTTATGAACAAGCTGTGGCTGCTTACGGTCATTTAAGCATTTTGTTTCGTCTTTATTAAAAATTAATTTCAATGAAAATCAAGGTTTTTAATCTTGTATGTTGTTTTTTTTTATATGCTGGAACATCACAGTGCTGTTTAACTACGACAACCTCAAAATCAGTCTTGTATGGGCTTTTTGAATCCTTATTCATCTTTAGAATAGGTTTCAGCATGTTTGGCTGAACAACTCCAATACCTGCTATTGTGTGGTTAAGAGCAGCTTTACAGCGTTTGAGCCGAGTTTTCGGTGGAAGTATTAGAAAAAAAACCCTCCACTGAGCGACATTGTTAGCTGCGTCAGTGTTTGGACTCATTTATGTAAGTAGCATTTGACAGATAAGTCTCATCTGTGCCTCCCAACAGAGGTCTTTTGGCTGAGTGATCGTTGAACAGAGGGTTGTGTGAATTGTTTAGCAGCTATAGAATGTTTGAAGGGTTGGCCTTGAGAGCTGGCCAGACAATGAGCACTTTATTTATTTTTTATTAATCCTATACAGTGAGGCTGTAGAGACTGAAATCGTACCCACTCAGCCTCAGCGTGGCCTGGTTATGTTCCTCTGAAATGATAAAAAACAGACTGGTAGCAGACCGGCTGTCCGTATTCAGAGGATTTTTGCGAACAGAACTTCGTCAGCTGGTGATTCAAGCACAAGAATGATTGAAGAACATAAAGCAGACAAGTTAGCCGCGGTTTTTCGATGATATTTCATGTCGGTTGTGAAGTTCTGATATGCAAAGTGCTGTTTTGCAAAGTCCACATTTGACTTTTTCCCCTTTTTTTTGCACAAAAACGCAGCCACACCCATGATTTATTTATTATTTTTTTGACGTGATGTCAATTAGTTTGACTTCAAGCCACAGACTGTATAAAAGATGGACGTAGCTGCCGTGACGTCAGCCGTTGGTTTCTGCACTGAGAAAATGAAGCCAGGGTTTTGCTACTTCCTGGTTGACATCTTGGATTTTTGGAGCCAGTGACGCAAAAATCGTCAGAGGGGGGCGGAGCCATAGAAGCAGCGATTGGTCAGACGGATTGAGAGGCGGGCCCTCTCTGCCCGCCCACATTTACTGCCTTCTGCTCGTCTGTATGGTCGCTGCCGACTGTCAATCAAGCCAGCCACGCCCCTTGCCCCGCAAAATGTTGACGATTTTTTAAAAATTCAGTATTGATTTATTTTCAGATTGGCCACCTGATCTCTGGATTTGACCATGAAAACTAATAAGAAAAAAATCCTGAGCTGTAGGAATGCAGTATTTCGTGTTCTGTGCTCACTTCTTTTCCAATTCAAGTCTATGGGAGCCAGGGCTTTTTGGATTTTGACACTTCCGGGTTGGCTTCATTTTTCAGGGCCGGTTGCTACGTCCATCTTTTATACAGTCTATGCTTCAAGCCAGCGTTCGGTAAAAGTTAAATAAGTTCAACCCAGCGGCGTCCGCGAGGTAAGACAAGTTCAAAGTTGTGAAAACGCGGGGGTGTTCACAGGTAGCCTGCTCCCCCCGCTGCTGAAGATAATGGATTAATCCTGGAACGCTGTTCATGCCGGGCTTTTGTTCCGTGTGAAAGTAACACCAGAGAATTCAGACAAATGACACGATATCGATGAATCCAATCGACCACTTTAACCGCTTTTGCCTCTTATCTGCTCATGCATTGAATGGAAACAACAAACCTCCGCTTGTGTCAATTCATTACAGCTTCTATAAATGAGATGTATGTGTCCTCAGTGTGGACAGTGCGTGTGGCTCCTTGCACCGCTGGCTTTAATGCTTAATGTAAGTTAATTATGAATACCTTGCACTTGTCCTAATGGATATCCTTTTCATTCATTTTGTACTAGAGACTAAAATGTCAGAATTTTACACCCGTAAATGATAGGGATTATCGACATCAAGCTTTTGCTTTTAAAAAAAAACACTTCAAGGTTTTGTGGAAAAATCTGTGCTTTTAAATCTACAGTGAAACGTTTTGCACATTAATGTTACAGCCTGTTACTGAGTGTTAGTGAGGATTTTATAGGGTTTATAAGTGGGCTAAAGCTGGAATTTTTTTTTATCTGCTAACACATTACTCAGAAAGTATCTTCCCACAGATAGCCCACTCTAACATGTGGATTTTCCTGCATGGACTAATCCCTTAATATGAAAGTTTTTAATCCATCCCTCCCCTGATATTTAGCAG